GGATACATTGTACCAGAATGATATTAAAAGAAAAGTGGGACTTAGTCGAAGAAAAATAAAGTCAGGAAATGGGGCCAGCCAGCGAGACGGTTTCCTGTTGGTCAACGGACGAGACACGGTCCACGGTAACAGGGCAACTTTTGAACCGATTAGTTCGAAAGAAATTGCAAGTGGAACGAGATAAATTTAACGTGGACGGGAACGTTCGGGGAAACGAGAAAAAATCGGGGTGAGATATCTGCGTTGCTTGCTTCACCGCGACGACGGAAGACAGATGTTTATTGTTGCGTGTTTTTCGATATTTTTGTAATTCCAGTGAAGTGAAATTCTGCGTTTAACCCACTATAGGACGAATTTATTTTCGTGACTGTAGAAAAATGTATTTAATATAGAATGAAGAAATATCAACCTGTAAGTACAAATTCACAATGTGTTCAATAGTTTTAATGATTGTATTAAATCAAATATACCTTGTAAGTTTGAAATTAGAATGACGTTGAACTCTTACGCCTGAGCGTATGAAGTGAGTTAATATGAGTTAGTATGAAGTGAACTGAGTTAATCAATTACTTAATTTTATTTGTCGCTTTGCTATGCAAATTGAAATAAATCAATAAGGTGCTAATATATTGATACGTGAGTTTCTAAGTCATTAAAGAAGATGAAATTTAATTTCTTATTTTTTGGAATAGTGATTGTCATAATGGTTCTTACGCAATTGTACTCGGATTGAGTTGACTTGAGAAATTGGAGGAACTGATATGTCGAGTGATAACGTTCAAATCGAGGAGTCTGGAGTGGAACCTTTAGTGAATGGGAATAATGATGTATAAAGTGATTACGGTTTTCAGTAATCGGAGAGTTATGGGAGACGAAAGAAATTCGATTCTCTGAAGGGAATATGATATTCGTAATCACGAATGGGTACTATGTTACAATCATCGAAATTATAAGTAGTTACTAGCCGCCGGATATTTATGCAAACACAGGCTCTTATGGAAATTACGACCGGAGAAAGAACAAGTTCCTTTATTAAAGGTTCTGCCAAGGTTTAATTAAAATAAGAAATCTCATTATACCGTATTACACTTCTAATTGCCCCGAGTTTTAAATAATTGCGTCTACGACAAACGCATTAAATCTGCAGTCTTATAATTACTAGCTTCATAAGACTGCAACCGATCAAATGGAAACGAGTTGAATGGATTTGTAATTTCAATTGAAAGCGAAGGATGTTCCCATCATTCGGGCAAGAGTTATTCAAAATAAAGAATTACGAATAAATTTAGTCTGATTGTTGTCCGCGAATAACGAATAACTTGATTTTTTAATAATCAGTATATTAACAGTGATATCTATTGACCAATCCTGTATCCATTATTGTTATTCAAAGAAACTTTCATTCAAAAAATTCCCAACACTGAATCGAAGGAAAAGTTATCAATTACTCTTTCCTCTGTCCTATTAAATTATTTATTGCATACTGCGCAGAGTCCAAATTCCCCAGATAACGAATACGCAATGCAGAACTCGTTAAATATTTACTCGAGAACTCGACGGCAGTGTTGCACTGTAGAAACTTATCTTTCTAAAGAACTGCCACCGAAAAATCCTTAGAAATTTCCTGAAATTTCTATTACAAAAATTGATAACGAAACATTTTTATTACTACTTACCAGGTGTGATATTCGGGAACGGTTGTCCAGGCAACGAAGGCGGATGTTCGTCTTCCGGAGAGCGTTCCGAGGCATAACCTTGATCCTGCGGCTCCCCACCGGCCAGTTTGCTCAATTTAAGATCAATGCACTTGCTAAGTTGTTGCCGATGCCTGACTAGCTCGCAATCGGGTTTGTGCACGATCTGCATCAGCAAATCGTTGTCGGTGCCCGCGTCAGGGATGCAGGGCTGCGAGGACGAGGAATTGGTATCGGAGGCTTTCTCGCCGTTCCTGGTGTCCTGCTTTCGTTTAGGCAACGTGCCCACCAGGTCAAGATCCGAATTTCGATGACATCTGTCTTCCAGGGACGAACCGCGGTTGTATCTTCTCGAGGAATCGCTGGATACCGTGTCGGTGCTTCGGTTCCTCCTCACCGAGTCGAAATTTCCGTGGCGGCACCTCACTAGGTCAAGGTCGCTCTGCTGGTACCTGTCGGAAAACGAATCACCGCAATTAAACACGATTTTATTGAGACTTTATTGTGCACTTTTATTCAGTTCTCAATGAGAATTTTTATTTGTCTTTTATTGAGAATTTTATTTAGTTTTCAATGAGAATTTTTATTTAGATTTCACTGAGAATTTCTATCTAGACTTCATCGAGAATTTTTATTTAGGTTTTATCGAGAATTTTATTTACTTTATTTAAAAAAGTCTATTTACACGAGTTAATAGAGAAGTGAGTGTGAGAAAAAGTGTTCTATTTTGAATTTTGTCGAGTTCTTTCGAATTTGTAAGTTTGTATAGACGTTTGTATTAGAATTTGATTGTAAGAGAACGTAGATTTTCTTGAATTGATAATTAAAGAAATTTGGTTTGGACTTGTCAGATTTGTTGGGATTTATAATTTTAAATGAACAGTTTGCTTACCTCCAAGGATCATTTTCATCTATGGAATCCTGCGATCGATGTTTTACGAGATCCAGGGCTCCAGTTGGCCCTCCGTCCGAGAAGTGGACACCTAACGACCGTTTCTTGTGTGGCAACGTTCCACCGAGATTCCCGGTAATAGTGTCAGTCATTATATTGTTATTTTCTTTCGGATCGTCGTCTAGCACGTCCTTGTCGTCCAGGTGATTGGGCAACGAGCCACAGAATTTATATCTGCACAGAACGATTACTTTTTCGTGAACATTCCTGCATTGTATTTTAAAGATACATTCTTTCAACAAGCCAAGAAACTTTTTTTCTGCGAGTATCACGTTTTTTACCTAACGAAGTTATACAATTATATAATAAAATCTTCATTATATATATATATATTATTAACTCTTTATATTTTTGTAGGATAAAAAGTGTAATAGTTGATTGTTTTATTTCTTATCTTTTATCGGAGAGTTCGTGTCGAAATTATCAAAGAGAACAAAAGGTGCATCGCGAAGGAAATGAGACATACTTTGTATTCAATGCAATAACTAGGTTGCGTTCTTTTATGCGTCCACAGCGCCGCGGCTAATTAAGATATAATGAAAAGAAAACTTTCATATTTTAATGCAGATGCTCTTCTAGATAATTTTATTTATTTATAATCTCCAAAATATTCATTTATGAAAGCGTGCTGAAACACGAGACAGTGCGGTCTAATTAAAACATTTTTGCCAATATTACAAATAAAAGCAGAATTATACGCTGGAAATTCTACGATTGGTTTTTTGACAGTTAATATCGTAGCGAAAGGTATATTTTTTTTAGATCGATACAAAGAACGACGATTGAGAAGCCTTGAAAGAGTCGTATCTCTGAGAATGTCGTAAAATTTATGATCGCATTGAAAAAAGGAAGAAGCGACACTTTGATGGTCCGTCGTTATACTTGCAAGAGAAGCGTGGTTATATTACTCGTTAAAAAAGGTGCGTGTCTCGTCCCACTTTTTTCGAATCTTCTGTGTAATATGTCGTTGTTAATGACCTATTGATAGAACTATCATGTTCAATGTCGCATACGTGGATCGTTCAATGTCACAGGGTAACTTATTAAACAGCGAATGAAAAACAGACATCAAACACGGACCAAACAGTGGAAAATATAAAAGGAAAAATTTTGTGCTTGTCTGAACATCGAGATATTATAGGAAATTTATCTGGAAAATATCGAGATATACTAAGACATAAAAAATATTCAAATATATTAAGATATAACAAATATTAAGATGTATTAACGTAAAAATAAAATAAAACATACTAACATGTATTAACGTAAAAATGAAATAAAAAATATTAAGACGTGTTAAAGCAAAAATAAAATAAAAAACATTAAGATGAATCTAGACAAATATTAAGATACAATAGAATTTTCACAGTAACAATGATCCAGCTCCATTCCAACACGCAGCCATTGAATTTTGACGACCTACATAGTGCATCAAACATTTAACTTCGCTCGATAAGGGGACAAATTTTTCCATTTATATTATCAATACCAGTAATGTCGCGGCGAGGGGAAGATATTCATGTCGAGAACTTCGCGGTACAAAGTGCGAAACAAGAAACAATCTTCTAATTTATTCCAGCGCAGACTTGAAACCGGCGGGCGGCAAACAGGCCATGAAGATGCAGCAAGAAAATGCATCGTCTGTATTTACATAATTTGCACGGTTCAATGTTTCGTCGTTTTTTCTGGTTCACATGAACGTGTTCGAGCGGGGACTTTTTAAATATAGGACACTGCAGCGGCGCTCGAGGCGGGGAACACGTGTGCGAACTACATTGTAAAATAATTTCATTCGTTGTTCGGTTCTTGTAACACCAGTGCACCCGAGGTAACCAGAGTAAATTATTGCTTTCATCGCATGCACCTCGAACACGATACACAAAATACAATCACTTTCTGTAATGGTCCATATAACGCGTCTCCCATGAAACTTACAGCATATTATAAATAACCTGTCTACTTCTAATGTATCATAATAACTATTATTCGAACAAATACCATTACACTATTTCAATAAACATTACATAATTATCATTCTAAACTATCGATTCATCGTCTATTAAACATTTCATTGTTGCGCAACAGCTTTCGATCGATTGATCAACTGAAAAATAGGTTGGTGAATATAAAATGTTTTTCTTACCCGTAAATGTTTCTGCTCCTGTTGTTGTTATTCATTTAATTTTAAATAACTCCTTAAACCGCGTTTCATTGTCTATTAGAGTAATGTTTTGCAACAAACTTTTTCCGAATTGTGCATAATAACTATTTCTTGAATAGTTTTTCGAACACATGGGTACATTTGTGCAATTTTCTTATATAAATTTAAACTTGAAAATTATGTTGCAGAAATTGCTCAAAATATAAATAAAGTATTTGAGGGCAATACTATGAATGAAAAAATAGTGTAGCGTTGACTTGCAAAAATTTATTTTGGTGATGTTTTTTTGAAAAATGAATCACGTGGTACAAACGAAACAGTAGTTTATGACGATGTCCTTGAAATTTATTAATTCTAGATATTCCGAATTTTTCAAAGAAGGTATATATTTGTTAAAGACCTTGGCAGAAGTGTATTGATTCGAATAAAACATATTTTCATTGAATAAACGTCTTTTAGCACACCAAATAAGGTTTCCTTTCTTCTGCAAAATCAGACATTTCATATTACACGACCTAATACATTGGCAAATGTGTCGATAGCGTGTTTAAGCATAATTTTCAAATGGAATTGTCTTGGAAATGAAATATCGCGTGGAAAAAATTGTTTAGATTTTTATTTTAGAGTTTATTAATCTAAATTGTATTAGAAATATTAAATCCAACACCAGATTATATTGTAATTTAGACGTTGGGTATTAAACACTGGTAATTAAGAATCTTACAAGTATCAATGAATAATTCAAGTAGGTATTTATTTTCATATGCAATGACCTAATATTAGGTTGTCCTAAAAGTCTTTTTCATTTTCTTCGTACACAATAAATCTTCACTTTATACTTTATATCATGTTATTAAATTATGCACAATAAGTTTCTATCTATTACCTTTCTTCGTTTTTCTGTAAGCTTCATAATACCATGTCTCCGAAGCTTCTCGAATATAATTAATATCAATCTATCTACAAGAATTTCAATTTATTCATATTTTCGACTAAATTAATTTTCTTGTTGAAACCATTCACGTCCTGAATTATTTTTTTTTCTTATTATTTACACATGTTCACTATCACAAAAACTGTTCTCAAGCTTTCAGCGTTTTAATTAGAATCTTGAATGGAGTATCGACGCAAAATTTCTACATACGAAGTTTCTAAACCAAACATTGCGGACAGAACGCGAAACGAACTTGTGGGACAACTTAATGCAATTGCATGAAAAGGTTCGGATGTAAAACGCGCCTTGGAACAAGTCGCGAACTAGTGTTCTTCATAAATTATTGATTACTCTTTCATCGGTACTAAACGCGTGGTACATGTATCACGTTGCAACGGCACGTGTACCATGTCGTGGCACACGCACAAAGTGTGTATTTCTATGGAATCCCCGAACCATCTAATTACAACCGGTTCCGTACTTGGGTCAGGGACCAGCGATTAATCGCAAACGGAATTTTCATAATGGTTGCTGACCACGTGAATCCAAGCCGCGGCTTCGCGTACCGTTCAAATGTAACGTGATCCGTCAGACGCGATGCGCGGTTTACGGGAAATTATGTCGAAATCGTTCGCGCCGTTTGCGCGTGACACTGTTCACCAACCACTGTTGCTGTTTGCTGGGCAGGGTCGGGCGCTGTTCAACATCCGCAGCGAACAAATTGCACGCGAAACGTTTTATTGATACCCGTCGACAAGTCGTTTGGGTCAGCGGGCTTAGAGGGCCGCGGATATTTAGCTGGCGAACCAAATTGCGCTTTCAAGGGAGCAATTTTCAATGGCACGAATAACAACGCTTATGCAAATGAAATTGAGACCAATCGGTCATTAACTCTTTTGTATTATTAGTTTTGTATCGGATTGTCAGTAAACTCGATCAATGATATTATATTATTATTCGTTAACATTGTTATTATTTATTAATATTTATTATTATATTAGTTACTATATTATTACGACTTTATATCATGATCTATATATTTTTTCTACACTTCAGTATAGTGAAGTACTCTTCGTTCTTTAATATGATGCAAATGGAACCTTAGAAAAAGGGAAGGCCATTTTTTCCTATAATAGAATTCCAAATTTATGTAAACTTTGAAAATAAATTCCGCATTAAACTGCATGAGTTGGTACTATCAACTGCACATGTTAGAGATCCACTACTAAAGTATTTCAACGCTTGATATGAGCTTATTAAGTTGTTTATGTGTTTATTACAATGGAAAATTAGAGCCTTTTGTTTAAAGAGCTACTTTACTTTCGCGCGCGTTTAGCGATGCTAAAGTGTCTAAACACTTATACATAGTAGTATACACGTATAATTATATAAATAAATGAATAAATAAGGAAATGTTTAAATACAGCGACGACTATGTTGGATCGAGACTAGTATACTACTAAATACGTTGGGTCAAAGTGATCCTGCGTTCGTTGTGTGATGGCTAACGTTTTTTCTCCTGCTTCCATTTTCCTTTTGCCGTTTCTCCCTTTTTCGTCTTCAATGAACCGCCGTGCGCTGCACCTTTCTCGACCCGCGCGAACGAGAATTTAATGGAAAAACGCCCCAGTTCCGCGACTGACCGACCTTAAAGGGACTTTAAATTATCTTGCAACCGACTTGATATGCCCTAAGTTATGACTGGTGGTTTAAACGACACCGTGCACAGAATCTTAATGAGGAATTCTTAATAATGTTTCGTTTCATCTATTCTGTGACACGTTACTTTGTTTCTTAGCCTATCAATTATACACATTTTCTTACTTTGTATTAACATGTTCAATGCCGCACGATTCCACTGAGCAAAATACACAAAATGGAGAAAATATGATATTAAATCATTTGATTAAATTGCGTTATTATTATTGCACGTTCATGTAGTAGAGTGTCGCCGCATTAGGTAGCATTGTTTATAGTATAGAAATGTTTTTAAATAATCATTGTTTAAGTGAATGAACTATAATCATTAGTGGGGTCACCGGTGACCCCCATAGTATTCAACGTGTTAAGTATGTGTATTATAGTGGGGTTAGGTGAAATAAAGTTTTAAAACAATAAAATATGAAAAAATATTTTTAATATATTTTTACTTAATTTAATAAAAATGCGTGATTCAGTTAATTGAAGAAATATAATTGTTTTTTAGAGAGTATTTTGTAAAATGATAATAATCAGGATCAGAATAATGCTGTTTACGTGAATTTCTACATCACTGGATAATTAATTTTATCCCAATTGTGGCACTCGTATATTGTAATATTATACGTATGTATGTATCGTTTGACGCAAAGTACTTTTGTTATCTTCCAGAATTCGTTCCTATTAAATCAAGTTTAACCTAAATTCTACAGATAATAATATCATATTACACGAAATGCACTTCACATTATTGTAATTAAAATTGAGCTGAAATTCTATTGCATTATCAATGATTTCACGAGCATCAAGCGTTTGATATTTCAATTGTTTTAACGTAACCACTCATGATCAAATAAAAGGATTCTCAAGTTATATAATTTTATCGAATGTCAGTAACATTGTAATTATTTCATGAAACTATTAATGAGTTCCATTAAATAAAACATTACTTTATTATTCAGCAACTCTAATTAATAATAAATTTCAAATTTGTTATTAAAATGAGGTGTCTCTTCTCGATGTAATGTGTTCATATTAAAATCACTTTCTCCATAAAAGTTGTGGACAGTGTTTCCCGATAATTTCGTTATTCCGTAATTTCCTCGATGTACCGGGTGTACCGTAATGCAACCAGATTGCATTATACAAGAAGAATTTCACGCTTAAGCCAAAAGGGGATTTTATTCGTGCGAAAGTACCGCGGCGTTCACTTTGCTCAATTATCTTAACTGTCTCATCTTCCTGGTGGATTTAATTACAACAGGTTTCCGGTTCAGCGTTTTAACTCTAACGTAGTTTCTAACTTAATCAAAACAGTCCAGTGTGTACCGCGTTTAACTCTTCCCCAATCAAACGGAAGTCATGGATTTGCCGTTGTTGTGAATGCATCCCATTTCTCTCGAGTTATTAGCATTCTTCCCGGAAAACAACAGTGAAACGTAATACCGACTAATGAAGGCACACAAGCGCGTGAAATTAGATTTCATGTTTACATATAACGCGACAAGTTTGCGCAGAAGTTTTCTAAATTCAGTTCAATCTTTATTCACGTAGAATGCTTGGAAAAATATAATTAATATCGATATATTTGCAACAACTCCAATGTATTCATGTTTTTTAATAAATTTATTTTCTTGTTGAAGTAATTCACATTTTGAATTATTTTTTGTTATTATTATTTATCTATGTTCGTTATTACAGAAACTGTTCTCAAGCATTCAGCGTTCTAACTAGAATCTTGAATGGAGCATCGATACAATATTGTATGAACACGGTGATTCTAATTAATATTCGGTCAATGTTTGGTTTGCGTTCAATCGTACGACGGACGTTTAACGCGCTCGTCAAGTCTGCCTCGATCGTGTTAGCACGGGAACAGTATTCAATCAACAGAATGAAAGTTAGTCAACTGAATTGGACGTATCTGTCCTGCGAATGGCCGGAAACTAATGGCGCAAGATTTGTTCTCAGATTTGCAAACATACGTTAACAAACGGAGTAAACACTAAACAAATGTACAATGAAATCGATTTCTCTGGCGTCAAGTAAGGATTCGCAAGTATTGTTCATTTTATTCAAATTAAAAAATATTTTTACTACAATTTGTGTACCTTAATATATAACATTTTCTATTTGCAATGAAATATATTTTTTATAGTTTAAAGTTTAAAAATAATTGAAATAAATTGAAAAACCAGAATTTAGGAATTTCGTATTCAGTGATGTAGATTACAAAATTGGAAATGACATGGACAGTCACTTAAATCATTAAAGTAAGTAAGTAAGTAGAGTAGGTCGTGTTATTTAGAATGACGAATATTGCACACGCATTTCACGCGGATATTCCTTTGTTTTTTAACCTTGAAAACGCTAATTAATATTTGCACTTGTTCCACTAGTAACAGAATTATAGCTAATTACCGGCATTATCTTATCATGTCATTCAAATGAGTCGAAGGACATGTATCACTCAATAATTAACGAATAAATTTGATGTTTCTACATATTTTAACCCAGAATTTGTACGAAAGAAAATTAGGTCATATCATATTAAGCTGATTATAGTAATGTATTGTATCATCTACATATTGTGCTAAATAAACGCATATACATAATATTATAGAAGCGTTTATTTTCCAATTAATTTTCCCCCGGCCTTACATAGTTACTACATTACTACATTATCATAGAAAATTGAACGCAACGAGAAGTACATCCTACAGTACCATTTCCATAAAACAAACTATACTCTCAAATAATATTTCCGCTACATGTTTTATCAATAATTTTAGCCAGTTAGGTATAATCATATTGATCTCTTGTGCTGGAAAAACATATCACGCCCGCCAAGATGTTTTTGTTCAAAAATTGCCAATAACGTCTTATACACATGGACAGATTCTTTTGAAACGAATCATTCTATATAAAATGATTAACACGTTGATCACCATAAGAATTTAGAGTGTTTCATATAAGATTACTCATCATACCATAACAAAGGCAAATGGTGTTAGAATTAGTTATTAGTGCTTTGGTATCAGAGCTCTTAAGTTATACTATCACTTAGCTACCCACGTAACTAAATATTTTGATACATCAGTTTTCTTCTTGTAATAGTTTTTAAGTAATTTGAACGCTCCGGTCATCGCTAACCACCGTGGTCAACGTCTTAATAAAAAAAATTAGCGTACATATCTAAAATAGCAAAAAGCAAAATTCTTCGGGCAAGGCTTTGCCAACTCTCTGAATCGATTTCCAACACAAGAAGACTAACGAATAACAAATAAGTATCCCAAACGGAATGGCACCCAATCAATCAGACCTACATACAACTTAGTTACCAAGTGATCTTCCTACATTACAAAATCATCAAATCCTTCAACTCACCTTTCCCTCTGCGCGCTGGAACATGGCACCAGTATCTTGCCCATGCTGTTCAGCTTGCCCTTGGGATCGCAGAGGTTCCCGGAGGACTGGGTCCTGCGGCCAGTCAGGCCCTTCCCGTTGTGTCGGCTCAGGTTGGAGCCCATGTTCAGCGGTTCGTTGCCGGACGGCGGCTCGTTTGTCACGTTGCCGTTGTTCACGGCATTTCCGGGCCTGTTGTTCTCCTTGTTCGGCCAGTCGAAGTACTTGTCGATGTCCTTGGCATTGACCTTGCTGGATATCGGCGGCGGGGGTGGCGCAGGGCGGGTCCGTTTCCCAGCGGGCACGGCTTGCAGCTGGCCACGGTAACCCCTGCGACGATTCAACGGCGATTCGCCGCTCAACGAAAGTGTCTGGGATCTCCAGCTGTCCTGACCTCCGCTCGTAGGTGGCACTGTTACGACTTCTTCACCTGTAACAATCATGCGAGTTCGCCGTTTTACTGGCCGGCCCGTGACGACAGCCGCCGCGCCGCGGAACACGCTCGCTCAGGAGCGCGTTGTGCTGCGCGGACGTTCATTCGCGTTCGCGTTAGGTTCGGTTGGTCGGTCGGTCGCTTTGAACCGTTAGCGGTTTTAGGAATCTCATTAAGGCTGCGGTTTTGTTACAGTGAATGGAGCGGGGAACACGGCCCACGGTGCCATCTTTGCTGCGGGGCTGCTGAGGCTGCGTGTTGTTGTCCGATGCAGAGACTATGCAACGCTGCAGTGACGATTTTGAAAGGGAGCTTTACAGTGAGCAGGTGTATTGGTTTTAAAAGAGATTTTTGTGGTAGCGGATTTTTTGGGGATGGAAATGGTTGTGCGGTGTTGGGTTTGGTGAATACGACAAGCGAGGTTAAATAAGCTTTCGTTAATTACGTTGTTGAAAGTTCCCATTGAGAACTGAACGTGAGCTTTTTTGGTTATTCGCCGGATTTCGGTGACTTTTCTTAATGTGTTTAGAAATGGATCGTAGATCACAGTTTATATATATTAATATTCGTATATGTGGCTATTTAACCAGTTAACTGTGGAATTTAGTTTCAAAAATCTCTTACTGCGCACGCAGTAAAGTCAAGCAATGAAATATATACTCGTTAAACGCAAATATACCTATAATATGTTCTGACGAAAAACTAAAGCAGAACGACGAAGAATTACACGTGTATCTGAAAAAATAACTAATTTATCGGTAAAAAGATTAGTATTTCGAGTTTTAAGATGACATGTATAAACGCAGTTAAATGGTTAACCTTTTGTTCTATGATATCGTGTCGCATTCATGATACAAATTTTTAACTAAATTTGACAAATCTGTGTTATTTACTTCACTTAATTAAAAATTATATATTACTTTTCTATTGTTAATGGGTAACCTTTGAAGTAATCATAGAATAAGCATTCAATTCTTTCTTTTACTAAGAAACTATTAATGATCAAGGAGCTTCATCAAACATCATTCTGAAAGAAATTACAGGGCAAAGGGTTAAGCTTGCTTATTTTATGTTGCGCTATGGTTATTTAATAGTTGTTTAAATACGAATAATATTATGATAGCAGTTGAAACTTTGTAGATAATAAATTGGTAATAGCAAAACAGATTTCTGCTTCCATCCGCAGACAATGAGCAACATTGATTTTTATTCGATTAATCTAGAAATCTTCGTCACGAGTCATTGTATAACAAGAGGTTAACACCGCCACGAGAATTTAGAGCGTTTCGTACAACATTACTTATCGTAACATAACAAATGCAAATAGTATTAGAACTAGTTATTAATGCTTAGTATCATAGTTCTTAACACATTGTTGACCGGTCACAAGTCAACTTGTGTTTGTACTTGCATTAGTCTTTTCAATTGTGAAACTCAGGGCAATATAAAATATTTCAAAGTAAAATCTTCAAAGTTATACAAAAGATATGTCCAAAGTTTCATTTCAATTCATTACGTATAAATAACGTATATAGAAGTTTATTTAGATGAACTCATTTTCATATTTACTTCATACTATTCACATTTATTATATTTATATACATATAATAACCGATGACATGGGATAGCTTCCGCGTAATTGTCGGTCAACAGTATGTTAACTTATACTATTATTTTGTTACTCGCGTTACTAAACGTTTTAATTCGATATCAGTTTTCTTCTTGTAATTGCTTTCTAGTAATTTTGACGCTCCGGTAATCGGTGATCACCATGGCGGTCAACGTGTTAATAATGCATTGAATTCATTATTTTCAGCGTGAAGCGTCCAAGGTTCTCCGAAGTTCACCGTGTCTCTCGTAAGCAAGGCGGCTTTCGAAAACACGGTGTACAGGAATGTCGGATTTACCATGAAGCAAAGCTTGATGGAAAACAATCAGATTCCTTGTTCCCGTGCGACTGTTAAGGCATCGCGGTATGGTATGCAGCATTCAGAACGCATAACACTAACGTTATGTTTATCGGGGTACGATTCACAGGCGCCGTACTGTATCGCGGCGCGATACTAATATCCCCGGCGCACGAAGCCGCTGCGTTGCATAACTGTATTATTAATGAGAGACGCATGCACGTGCACACACGCGTCAGCACGCATTCATCGAATGGGGCTGAATTGAAAGCGTCTCGTGTTGGCGCTGCTTGTTGCGTCTGCAGACGGCGGACTTTTTTCTTTCGACATTTTTTTTCTTTAATTCGAGAAACGGAATCGGCTGGATTCCGAGAACAATAACCCGAGCATAACTTCGCCGGAGCGTTTCACTGCTTAGCTCGCTCGCTCGCCTAACAGTATCGCATTAATTGCTGCGCTCCTAAATTAGGAAAATTTACCAAACAATAACTGCCCGGAAATCATTGAAATTCATGGGACGATAATGCCGAGAAAATGAACTGAATCATTGAAATTTATGAAATGATAACGCGAGCGAAGAAAATTGAATTGTAAGAGTTAATGAATGAATAGTAAATGTAAAGGAATCTAGTTCATTAATATTGGATTGTTTAAGCGAGATGTATGGGATAATGATGAAGAAAAGAAAATCAAATAATTAGAGTTTGTAGGAGGATAATAAAAGTAAATAAAATTGAGTTATTGGAATTTATAATATATTAGTGGGTATTCATTAGTTAATTAAAATATAAAGGTAATAAATGAATAACATTATAGGCAATGAAAACATTATTTCTTGTTTAATTGTTCACCTTTCACACGTTATTTAAGATGCTTTTCATTTTTACAAGAAAATTTTATTATTCCTCGTGGATTTATAATTGTATCATTGCAATTTATATCGAAACTCGCGAATAATGTTCCGAATGACAGAGTAAATTGAGGAAGAATAGAGAGTAACTTTCCACATTAATGAAGTGTGTATTCGTAGAACCACCAGGGACGAGGCCTTTGTGTTTCGTTCATGAAAATAGAACAGAATCAGCTCTCGTCAGAAAGTATATCACATAATTAAGCCTGTAAATTAGAAACGTTGCTCGCTGCGCGGGTTTAATCTTGGATCTCGAGGAGAAAAAAGGTAACGTCGTTCGCACGGTGGAACTTCATTCTGTATCAGGAATTGGGTGAACCAATTTCGTTCTTATTAAACCTTAATTAATATTGTACAGTTACCGATTATGCATACGGCAAGCTCGGCATGGGACGCGCGTACGACTCGTGTGATACTGAATCTCAATTAATCTGGATCGATATTAATTAACTGGAGGGGCGGGCTTGAAGGCGCGCTAAATATTCTAATCTATAAGTTTTTTCAAACTTAGATAGAGCCTTGCAACTATTAACTTATTATAAGTTTTTCCTCTTCGATTTTCTTTAATGGTTTTTCTACGATCAAACAATGTTTTATTTTAGCAAATACTAATTCATTATAAGTTTCCTATCTTCGATTTTCTTTAATGTTTCTTTTTACCACGAAACAATGTTTTCTTTTTGCAAATGTTAATTCATTATAAGTTTCGTCTCTTCGATTTTCTTTAACGGATTTTCTACGGCCAAACAATTTTTAATTTTTGTAATTATTAACCTACTAGAAGTTTCCTCTTTTTAATTTTCTTTAATGACTTTTCTACGATCAAACAATTTTTTATTTTTGCAGATATTAACTTATTATAAGTTTTCCCTCTTCGACTTTCTTTAATGGTTTTTTTTACGATCCAACAATTCTTCAGTCTTGCAACTATTAATTTATTATAAGCTCCCTCTAAAAAATTGTTAGATCGTAGAAAACCCATCGAAGAAAATCGAACAAAAAAAAGGAGACGTTCGATGTATTTGGAATCTCAAATTGAATGGGTGTAGTTTAAACAGGCGATAATATTAACGACACCGTGAACAACAGTAAATTATATTTTACTCTTGCCGTAAAGCGTGAATATTATATGCGACCCGAAACTTTTAAGCAGCAACGCGTATATACCCATATGAAAAATGAAAGGTTTTATGACTTATGTTTATTGGACGCTCTCCAGTTCGTAAATGTAAAATACGTTCGGAAATTTTATGACACTCTTTAAGAAACACCCTGTACGCACACGTGTACGGATACACTTAAATTTTCATGAGAAAATTAAGAATGAACTGTTGACAGCAATATGTTATATCCCGTTCGAGGCAAGCGCATTAACGCCCAAAAGTATTCATCATTCGTTCGATGATTAACAAATATTGAATTTTTCGTGACGAATTGCAATTTTCAAAATTTATACTGACAATGTTAACCCCTTGCCTTATAATAACGTGTTAGTCTCGCGTTAAAAATTCCGAACTGAATTCAATAAATTTAAATGTTATTTATTTTTAACATAAATTAAATATTATTTGCCCATTATCGACCTTTAAACTCGTTTCTTTCTCTACTAAATTATTGACAATAATGTGGTTTTATCAAGCATAGATAATAAATAAATCATAGCGTAGGTTTATTTATACAGCATCGTATAAACTCATACTGTTGTTATCTTTGATGTATGTTATCAAAGAGAAATTCTAAAAATATAGCCATAATTTTATTCCACAATAAAATATGGAAATATATTATAATAAATATTACAAAATATTTATATTTTGAACGTTTCATAAAACATTTCACAAAGACTTAAATTTTAACTCAAATTTATTTGATAAAATTTATACGATATGAATATTTTTGCTAGGTAGCGAATGCACGAGAAGAAAAATAATTTAAACGGTAAATCTGGAACCACCGTTGTATCAGTAATTACACCTCACTATATAGTGCATGACTTATTTATAAAACACGAGAGATCATCACGTGGAACAAGCACACACGTCATCCCCTTTCGATGAAAATCATGCGTAATGATTCCTCGCGAATTCTAATTGTGTAAAAAGTCAACAAACACGTGATTCATTGTCGTACACGGTGCAGCAATCCTTTCTTTTCTAATATTAGAACTCAACCATGAGTAATTTTACGTTGAAGTAACACGTTTGCTGGAAAGAAGAGTGATTCAAGCTTGGAGGTCTGTTACGGCAACTTTATCAGATAAGACGAACGTTTACAGCAACCGCCTTCACTATTTTTTACGTTCAATGAATTCCTGTGGTTACCATCATATATTATGAAACACCCGGTACAGTGTAATTGCGTGTCATTATACGTGCACAATGAGCCTACGAAAGTACACGTAATAATTCAGTTGCTTCGCTTATGCTCCTGAAATTGAACTAATATTCAAAACAAGTGAATTACAATTACAAAATTATAAATTGTAATACATTGTATTGATTAATTGTTTCAGTGAAATAAAGGTAACGGTCAAATCTGTCCTTATTTACATATTAACTTGTTTCACACATAATTGAGTTGATATATCATTGAAGCAGATAAATCACGTGATACAATTATGAATTTTAATGTATTATTAATCTGGGTAATATGTAATGTATTTATCAGATTGTGTATCTTCGCGCATTTTACAAAAATTTCATGAATTCAGGAGACTACTACTAATTAGGAGAAATCATATACCTGCGCATTTACAATATTATTTAAAAACATACAGATATATTCTCGTGATTTTTTCAAACGCCAAAGTGTCTTCAAAAAATAAAACTTTATTTTTCTAATTTCAATTTCTTCAAACCCGCTTATGAAATTTTTAATTTTTATAAACATCTGTAATCTAATGTAATCTAATACATTTTATACAATTTATTTATTATATTCATTTACCTATACATTTATTTATTTACCACACAATGTTTATTATATAATTTAGGATACTATTATTATTACGATCATTCTGTATCGAATTTCTCGTTGCATTCGGTTCACGCAGACACTGTCATCCGAGGTGCCACGTGTGGAATGGATGTCGTAAAATCCCACGTAATCAAGACGAATTACCGTGAACGATCGATCATGCAACGTATTTCGTAACACGACAGTGTTATCGACTTCGCTTGATTGTTACATATTCGCAGTCTCGTGAACCCGTTATTAAATTGTAACTAGTTTCCCGAGGCTCGTTGTTGCCGGTCAGCGATTATACGCGATTCGTCTGCGCAAATAGTTAAATAGATCGAAACGAATACGTTTTTGCCTCCTTTTTTTCTTGCTTTTTCCTTTTTCGGTCTACGCGTAACTGCAAACACGAAGCGTTACGCTTTAAAAATTTTCTATTCCATCGCGGTTAAAGGGAAACTTGTTGCACGCAAAATGGCTCAATTAAAGTTTGTTATTAATGGAATGCCCGGCGGAGAGAGAGACGGATTTTACAGTAGTATAATATAGACGACAATTAAATTCCCTTTTAATGAATTGAATCGCGAAAGACACGGAACGTTACACAGGAATTTCATGAGAGCGACGAGAAAAATAACATTTGCTTCGAAATGTAATCGGAGAAGCACTTATTTTCTTTTCACATTAACGCTAGAACTATTGTACCAGTGAAAATGACTGGTTTCGGTTTTTTTCTTTCACAATTATTGATATCTTCAAAGCATTGGCTATTCGAAATGAGTTGGAAAATAGTTTCACTTGAATACTACAATGAGTGTGTAAATAAACCGAAAATAATCTGTTTTACCATTTTTACAAAGATTACATATCAATCGTATTGAATGCTCGGTACTTCTAGTATTAAGCACAGGTATTCATTTTATGTAAATAAAAATTCCACGAGTAATCGCAAAACAAAGTTGCTTCATAATCGTACGTGACGAATTCTTTTAATAGATTTTCAGCTGTGAAGTAAGAAACTAGTGATAAACTAATTGTACACCAGGAAGAAAGAATAACGAAAAATTCCGTACAATTACATAACCAGATTGTACGAGTTAAAAAGATTAAATACAATGAAAAGGCTATAGCGTTTAAATAGACCAAGTAAATTACAGAAAAATTATGATTGCATGTCACTCTTTTGCAAGCAAACGTTGAGGAATTAAAATGAAATAAAATTCCGTTCCCATGGCGAACGACTTCGACAAATTGAAATTCATATTTCATCTTCCTTTTGAAACTACCAAACCTTAATATAGTAATTTAATCAGAGTAATGTAATTCAAGTTAAATTCGAATCTGAAACGAACATTAACCAGTTAACTGCGTTTGACGAGTATTCACGTCATATTAAAAGTCAAAATGATACTAATTCTTTCAATGACAAATTATTTACTTTTTCAGATAGACATGCAATTTTTTCCATTTTGCCTTAGTTTTTTGTTAGAATATGTTGTAGGTGCATTATCTTTGTGTTTGGCGAGTATACCCTTCATTGTTTGATTTGATTGCGTGCACAATGAGAGATTTTTTAAACTAAATTCGACAATTAAAGGGTCAACAGCTAATAAGCTGCAGCGTCGTTAAAAAAGATAAATTGGAAAGAAAATACGTTTCGGCACAACAGTGTATATTACGGTTAGATACTGCCACAATGGCGTTTCAAGAAGTGTAAATCGTCCTTTCCTGCTCAACCCCTATTATTTGTTACCCTCTTTTCAAAGGACGCCCTTATCTGTTGCCGCAGTAAGTACGGATGAATCTAGATGTCGTAAAGTTAACCACCGAACTAAATCCGGTGCTTATCGATTGAACCTGACTCGGGTATCTATCTTGGGGGCCCTCGCCGTCGCGAATCTAGCTAATCGGGAACAAATGGATCGCGAATCTACTGCTCCATCATGTGCAAACGGTCGCCCGGATACTTCGTAGATACGTCGAATACAAGCCCCAGCCTCGAGAGGTCGATTTCTAACACATTATTGCAACTGAGCAGAGTGGAAACTGCATTCGACCTATTTCACGAGAGAAAAAAATCTCGCACATACATTCGCCGAAATTGAATCTGCTCCTTAATCGTCATTAATCTATCCCAAGCGTAAAAATAGGAATTTCTTTGTTTGTCCCTTCGCATTTTTTGCGCGAATATAAATGATTTCGTCTTTGCTGAAGAATTAAATGTATTA